TGCTCTTCCCAGGATTCGAGTCACTCCTAAAGAACCCAGAGGGTATGGCCCCTTTTAACTCCTGTATGGCCACACTTTTCTGCTTGGGCCTAACCTTAATTCCAGACACCAGTCCTCTTGGTGACTATCTTCCAGTCCTCTAATAGGCCAGACATGAAATCCACCAGGCTGCTAATTTTCCCTTACCCACTCTAGAACTCCAGACAACCCTGCATATGAAGACACCCTAGTCGGAAGGTCAGTCCTAGTTAAAAGCCTAACCCCTTGGTCTCCGCAGCTTCGGTGGACAGGACCCTTCCTGGTCATCTGTAGCACCCCAACTGCTGTCCATCTACAAGACCCTCCCCAGTGGGTCCATCATTCCAGGATAAAGCTGTGTCCATCAGACAATCAGCCTAACTCCTCCACCGCCTCCTGGAAGTCGCAAGTACTCTCCCCCACTTCTCTTAAACTCACCCATATCCCCAAAGTGGAAGAATAACCCTATATAAACCTAACATACCTTTTCTACTTAAACCACACCTCAGAAGTCTCTGTTTACATGTCCTGCTCTTGTTTACATTGCCAGTGTACACTTCTCCTCCAAGCAATTACAGCTGATATTTCATGGTTTTACACTCAGGCTGCCACCCATAATCTTAGAGTGGAGAGATGACCTTCTATGGCAGGGAACTCTCCAATTCTTCTATCTCGATGAAGTCCTCTTCTTTTCTTTTATACTCACTCTTAACCTCATTCCCATTCTCCTGCTACTCTCTATCCCTACCTAGTTACCTCCAACATACCATCAGCCTAACCCGCTCTCTCCTATTTCAGACCCTCCCTTAGCTAGAGATTGTTGGCTATGCATATCCCCTCCTCTTTCTCCTACACAACAGCCCCGCCCTTCCAGCGGACTGGGCAAACTCTCCCATCTCTTTACACCTCCAGACTTCCTTCAACAACCCCCACCTGTACACCTCAGAAGAACGCCTCTGCTTCCTAGAAACATTCAACAAAAACACCCCGGATATCTCATACCAGTAGGCTGCTGCTCTTCTTCACACCTACCTACATGATCTTTCCTCTTATGTCAACTCCACACCCCCCATTTTTGGACCACTGGCCATACAAACAACTGTCCCTATTGACCCTCACTTATGCATTTCCCGGCAATTACCTAATGGAATTCCCCTAGGAAACCTCTTTTTGTTCCTTTACACTTCATCTCCAAGGCCCTGTCACCCATGTTAACCAAGAAATAGGAACATACCAGCTTCACGTTACTGAAAGGACCTCCCTCATTACTAGTACTCTTAAGAATGTCAATAGCAAATTTTGCTAGGTAGGCATTTACCCTCTCTCTCACTCCATCCTTGGCTGCCCTCCCCTTGTTCATCAGACCCTCCTCCAGATCCCTCTTCCTGCCTGCTCATACCTAACCTCGTTAATGAAAGTGAATGGTTACTCATAGATACCAAACGCTTTCTTCTTCTTCCACACAATTACCCTATCAAACCCCACTACACCCTTTAACAGTCACGGCCTTTGCTGGTTCCCTTGGTATCTGGGTAAAAGACCCCAGCCCCCCAGAACACTCTTACCTCTTCAGTCTACACTTCCAATTCTCCCTCAGCCAAGGACTTTTTCTCCTCTGTGGCTCTTCCACCTACCTCTGCCTTCCTAACAACTGGACAAGCTAATTTTTCTTACTCCCAAAATCCAGTTTGCCAATAGAAATGAACCCCTCCCTGTCCCCTTTGTAACTCCTACACGACAAAAAAAAAGTCGTTCCATTAACCCCCTTGCTTGTAGGATTAGGAGCCTCCACTGCTACAATCAGGACAGGTACGGCAGCAGGCCTTACTACTACATCGCCACATTCTGCAGTCCCTCTAATGATTTTTCTGCCAGCATTTCAGACAACTCAAACTCTATCTGTTCTCCAAGCCCAAGTTAATTCCCTGGCTGCAGCTATCCTCCAAAATCGCCGCGGCCTTGATATACTAGCTGCTGAGAAAGGAGGACTCTGCCTATTCCTAAATGAAGAATGTTGCTGTTATCTAAACCAATCCAGCCTCGTATATGATGCCATCAAAGACTTTAAAGACAGGGCCCAAAAGCTCGCTAATCAGGCAAATAATTATTCTGGACCTAGATGGCTACTCTCTAACTGGGTATCATGGCTCGTTCCATTGTCAGGCCCTTTGCCCATTTCTCTGCTTCTCTTATTCAGACCTCGCCTTTTCAGACAAATCTCTTAATTCCTACAAAATCGTATCCAAGCTTTAACCGATCAGTCAATACAATAAATGCTCCTTTTAACAACCCCACTATATCAACCTTGCCCCAAAATCTCTTGGCAGTCTAAATTCTTGCTCATTTTTAGGTCTGCATGCCACCCCAGTCCCACTCGAAGAAGCCCTGAGAAACGTCGCCCATCACCCCTCTATACTGCTCCCAAAATTTCACTGCCCCCACAACTTTTTCCAGTTTTTACCTTTTTCCTTCATATTATTAATATTAAAAGGCAGGAATGCAAGGTTCTTTGAACTGGCTGCACCATGGGCTACACCATGGTCAAGCCATGGTGACCCCTGTTACCTGCATGTACATCTCCAGAAAAGAAGAAAGAATGGCTAGCTCTGCCATTGTTCCTGCCTCAACTGTTCCTGCTTTAACTGATAAGCCAATCTTGGGACATTGAACCTTGGACCTTGTGACACTCCCCTCCCCTTGCAACAAAAGAAGAATAGATAGATCCTGCAGTGCCTGATTAACCAACCTTGAGACATTCCACTACTGTTCTGGCTTAACTGATAAGCCAACCTCGTGACACTGGACCTTGGACCTTGTGGCACCCCTTACCCCCGGCCCCCCCCCCCCCCCCGCCCCGACACCCTTGGGCTTGCAAAAAAACCACTCTGAATGGCTGGGTGGGGTGGCTAACACCTGTAATCCCAGCACTTTGGGAGGCCAAGGCAATTGGATCACCAGGTCAGCAGATTGAGACCATCCTGGTTAACACGGTGAAACTCGGTCTCTATTAAAAAAACAAAAAATTAGCCGGGCATGGTGGCATGTGCCTGTAGTCCCAGCTACTCCAGAGGCCAAGGCAGGAGAATCACTTGAACCCAGGAAATGGAGGTTGCAGTGAGCCGAGATCATGCCACTGCACTCCAGCCTGGGTGACAGTGAGACTCTGTCTCAAAACAAACAAACAACAACAAAAAACCACCCTGAACTATAACTTCCATAACTTTCCACTGCCTACCCCATACCTATAAAACCAACTCTTATCCCACCACCCTCTGCTGGCTCTCTTTTCAGACTCAGCATACTCATACCCAAGGGGGAATAAACAGCCTTGTTGCTCACACAAAGCCTGTTTAGGTGGGCTCTTCATTCAGAGAGTGCTTAACAAAAATATAAGGGGAAAATGCCATGTAGTCTAGTCTTTGTGTTTGAAAAACATAGAAAACGCCAGTAGAGGAAAAAGACCATTTACCATGAACATTTGTGAGCATAATTTTGCTTCTTTCTAGTTGGTTTTCAAAGTGCCCACAGATACTGTCTAACCCACTATTGTTTTTTGTTGTTGTTCTTTTGTTTTTTGTTTTTGAGACAGTGTCTTGCCCAGTCGCCCAGACTGGCATGCAGTGGCATGACCTCAGCTCACTGCAACCTCCATCTTCCGCTCCACCTCCTAGGTTCAAATGATTCTGCTGCATCAGCTTCCTGAGCAGCTGGGATTACAAGCACCCTCCACCACACCCAGCTAATTTTTGTATTTTTTAGTAGAGATGGGGTTTAACGATGTTGACGAGGCTGTTCTCAAATTTCTGACCTCAAGTGATCCGCCCGCCTTGGCCTTACAAAATGATTATCAATCTCAAAAAGAGATTGAGAAAATTAAAAAATGTCTGGTTTAACTTTTACAGCTACTGCCCCCACCGCCTCTCCCACCGCACTCAGCCTCAGATTGTTTAAAACTTTTTAATTGGGAGGCCATTATGCTGAAACTGTTCCAACTGCCTTGGATTTCCTGCTTAAGCAAACTACAGCCCAATGTAAATAGTGAAGGGAAACTTAAGCTTAACCTATCAGAAACTGTCAACTAGGCAGGAATTTTTCTAACTAGGAATTTTTCCCCAAGTCATAGCTAAATAAGGCAGTCATAGCCAACCAAGTAATTATTTTCCTTTGCTTCCGTGTTCAGCCTATAAAAAGCCCATGCTACCAAAGCAAACCTCTTTAAAACCCTTCTAAGTACTGCCAATTCATAAGTTGTTCTTTGCTCAAATAAACAAGGTTATCCTACTTTATCTGAAAATTTTCTTTTAATAAGATGTTAGGTTTCCACACTAGGCAGGTTCTCCATAAACACTTTCACCATTTTTATTTCTTCTCCTAAGTCATGTATATATACTTTTTTACTGGCACCTAAGTGCCCATGCCTCAGGTTAATGGACTTGAAGCCTTATCAATTGTTATGCAGATAGAAGAAAAACCTACTGAAAGACCTATTTTTACCACTCTTCTTGGGTGGTTTTGAGATGCTTTAAAGGAAAGGGCTAGTAGGTATAGAAAAGTAAAGGTAAGCAAAATACTCTGCATTCTAATGTTCTGTTGGGAGTGCTGAGATTCTTTCAAGCAAAATCCTCATTCTCTTGGAAACACAGAAATGGATTATCCTACCTTGTTTGCTTTTTACACCCAGAGTGCCTCGGCAGAAGCAGAGCAGGGGAATGAAAGGAGCTTGCCTTAGGAGTCAGATTTGGTTTGAACACTCGCCTGCCTAGGCAGGCACTTAGAGGCTGTGAGGCCTGTGAGGAGTTAACCTCTCTGAGCCCGAGCTTCCTCATCTATACATTGAAGGATCCGTAAGCAGGAAGGCCCTCACTGAGTGGTCAAAGCTGGTTTCGGCGGTCACAGTACCTCTCCTTAGGGCTCGGTTCTACTCTTGACAACTTCTTCGTGCCCTGAGGCCCAGACATAAAAGAGCAGGGTAAGGCGCTGACCTCGAAGTCTGGACGGTGGCGGATCGGACGGCAGAGCTCTGGCTCCGGGCATGGACAGTGGGTCCCGGCCGCGAGCGGCAGCGCCAGCAGCACCGGCAGCACTGGACCCAGAACGCCGCGGGGCTGGCTAGCTAAGAGGCGCCAGCGTCGGAGCTGCGGCCTGGACATGGCAGCGGGTGGAAAAGGCCACACAGCGTGATCCTAGCGCCTGGGTGGGCGGGGCCTGCTGCGCGTCGGGGAAGGGAGGGGTGAAGAGGGGAAGGAAGGGGCGGGGCTCCGGGGTGGGGAGGGGCTCCAGGGCGGGCAAAGGTTGGGCTTCGAGCGTCTGGGTCGCTGCGGGTGGGTGAAGTTAAGTGGCTGCTGGAGGGTATCCGGGGACAGCCAGTTCCTGCAGCGCCGAGAGAGCCGTTCGTGGACTCAAATGGGTATCACCCCTACTGTTTATAGTCCTCCCAACAGTCTGCATCTAGTTTTGTCATGGCTGGTCGGATACTCCTTATGGAGTCTGAAGGTACAAGGGGATCCCCAAAATAGAGAAATGGGTGTCTTTGGAATGGCCTACTGAGTAACATGGTTGGAGTAACCAAAAGACTTTAAGAGTAACCAAAAGACTTTTCGTTTTTATTTTGCTAATCAAAAGAAAGCTGGAATACCAAAAATTTTTCCTTACAGATAATCAGGTCTGAGCTGAGGTCGCGGTTTGAATTCAAGCATCTAATTTTGACTACTCTCCTGTTAAAATCCAGTAACAACCTAAACACACAAGGACAAAGAGGTAACAGCAACAAAATGTTGGAATCTGGAGAGCACAAGTATGAGTATGAGGTAAATCAAAAAAATGAGAGATTAGTCGAAGGCTGCTCAAGGACTCTGACCACTAGATCCATTTTCCAAGGTCATGGCTCTGTGCAGCTGCCCACCTTCCCCACCCACCGGCTCCCCACCCCGGCTGAATTCCCCGGAGGGGGCGAATTCTCTGCTGAGTGGGTACTCCACCTAAAACGGAGAATAAGTGGCTTTATGCCAACTGAAAACTGAAATCCCTTGCTAGGCTGATCAGAATCTGATTAACCTAAGAGGCCGAGCAAAGATACTGACCTCAGGGATTTTCTGGACAAATCATACACCCAGATTACCGTACAGTGAAATTCAAAGTCAAAAGCACCAGCTATCTACTTGGAGCGCCCTCTCTTTGTACTTAATTTTTACTTTTAATCATGGACAGCAACCAAGAAAATGCAATAACATAGAAGGAAGGGACCCAAACAACAGACAAAGGAATATGGAGGAAGCAGATACTGCAGGAAGAACACTTTTTAAAAATTCTCATAGTAGCCCCAGAAAAATAAGAGAAGATAAAGCCACACAGGGTGCAATAAAAGGGGTAGGGGATGTTTAAAAAGTTATTGGAAATAAGAAAGAAAGAAGTGAAAAAAACTATTAGCAGAAGATAACATTAAGGAATGTAGAGCAAAAACGGAAACATAAGAAAATTGGAAAAGCAGTACACAGGGGATGAAATAATTAAATAATTCTTAAGGATGCTTGAGAAGCAGAGTAGTACAAATGAGAAGAAAGAAGTAATTTAGGTCAGGTACAGTGGTTCATGCCTGTAATCCCAGCACTTCGAAGGCCAAGGCTGGTGGATCACTTGAGGTCAGGAGTTTCAGACCAGCCTGGCCAACATGGTGAAAATCTGTCTCTACTAAAAATATAACAACTAGCCTGGTGTGGTGGCAGGCGCCTATAATCCTAGCTCGTTGGGAGGCTCAGGAAAGAGAATCGCTTGAACCAGGGAGGCAAAGTTTGCAGAGATCATACCACTGCACTCCAGCTTCAGTGACAGAGTGAGACTCTGTCTCAAAAAAAAAAAAAAAAGAAAAGAAAAGAAGTAAGTAATTATCAAGGCTCTCAGGACTGAAGAATACGAGTTTTCAGAATGAAAAACTGGGCCAGGCACTGTAACTCACACCTGCAGTCCCAGCACTTTGGCAGGCTGAGGCAGGAGAATCATTTGAGGCCAGGAGTTTGAGACCAGCCTGGGGAACATAGACCCTGTCTCTACAAAAAAAATCAAAAGCAAAAACTTAGCCCTGTTTGCCAGTGTGGTGGTAAAAGCTTATAGTGCCAGCTGCTCAGGAGGCTGAAATGAGAGGACTGCTTAAGGCCAGGAGGGCGAGGCTGAAGTGAAGTGTGATAACGCCACTGTGCTGGGTGACAAAACAAGATCCTGTCTCAAAAGAAAAAAAAAAGCTTAAAAAAAAGTACAATTGAACCACCGTAACCAGAGGTTCCACATCCATATTTTTAACCAATGTCAGATAACAAAATTTAAAAATAACAAATATTGCAATTTAAAAAATACAGTCATAGCAACTGTCAACATGGCATTACATTGTGTTATAATCTAGAGTTTACTTAAAGTACACAGGAGGATGTGCATAGATTATGCCATTTTACATAAGGGACTTGAGCATCCATGGATTTTGGTATGTGGGAGTCCTGGAACCAATTCCCCATTATACCGAAATATAACTATGTTATTAATATGAATGATTGCATTGAATTGAACTTTCAAGAAAAAAGCCTTCTGACTCATAGAATCAGACTGTATTCTGCGATGTAGAAGAAAACACACATATATCTGTGTTGGGGATCCCTAAGATCACCCCCAGGTTCAGTGATGCACTAAAATAACTCATAGGACTCAGCTGTACTCACAGTTACGATTTATTACAGCAGGAGAATATAAAGCAAAAGCAGCAAAGGGGAAAAGTGCGAAGGAAAAAGGAGGAAGCCACACACAAGCATCGCATTGTGACAACATGTGTGAAGTGTTGTCTTCTCTAATGGAAGCTCATTAGAGACTCAGGGAATAGCGGGAACACTCCCAAATCCACCTAGAGGCCAACCTTTAGGAAGCAGGACTTTCTCTGAAGATAGCAGTCTTAGGCCTGTTAGGGTAACTCTTTTCTGCATACTACCCAAATGAGGAATTCCTACATATTTGTATTGAATTCTCTATTGGTGCTGTACATTCTGTGGGTTTTGACAAATGTATAATGATGTGTATCCATCACGATAGTATCATACAGAATAGTTTCACTGCCCTCAAAATTATCTGTGCTCCATCTATTCATTCCTCTCTCCCTGCTAACCACTGGCATCCACAGATTTTTACACTGACTTTATGGTTTTGCCTTTTCCAGAATGTCACATAGTTGGAATCTTACAGTATATAGCCTTTCAGATTGGCTTTTTTCACTTAGTAAAGTGCATTTATGGTTCCTCCGTGTCCTTTCATGACTTGATAGCTCATTTCTTTTTAGCACTGAATAATATTTCATTGTTTGGATGTACTATGGTTAATTCATTCACCTATGGAAGGACATCTTGCAGTGATTTGATGAAGCTCACAGCAGCCTCCATATCTTGGTCTCCAGCAATCCTCTCACCTCAGCCTCCTAAGTAGCTAGGACTACAGGCACATGCCACCATGCCTGGCATTTTTTGTTTTTTAGTAGAGACAAGGTTTTGCTATGTTGCTTAGGCTGGTCTTGAACTCCTACGCTCAAGTAGTCCTTCTGTCTTGGCCTCCCAAAGTGCTAGGATTACAGGCCTGAGCTGCTGCACCCAACTCTATATTACATTTTTAAGCAAAGTGGAAATTCTTGTATTTGACAACTGAACCATATAGAATTAAATGTTTTATTAAAACCATTCACAATTCTAACACTAAATCCATCTAGTTGATCCATTGATTCATGGTAGCATGCCATAGAGCAAATAACAAATTTATAATAGCTACATAAAATATAAAATATTTAGCAATAAATATAATGTGCAAGAATACAAAACCTCTTTATAGAAAAGTATAAAACACTATTGAAATGTTAGAAAATCTAAGCAAATAAAACATATACTATTTGTTGGGGAAGGAGGGTTGTTGTTTGTTTCATTTTTCTTTTTGTTGTTCAGCTTTGGTAGAATTTGACAAGCTGATTCTAAAATTTATAGGAAAATATAAAAATAATTATGGCACTTCTCAAGAACAAGGTGGGAAGTCTTCTATATGGCATCAAGACTTAAAAAGATTAAGTGATTAATTCCACTCATTATTGGTGCAAGGATAAACAAATGAACCAATGGCACATAGTAGAGAACTCATAACAGATCCATGTGTATACACTTGATTAATGACAAAGCAGCGGAAAAAAGATAACGTTGTCACAATTGGTTATCAATATGGAAAAAATATGGAAACTTGACCTCTACCTCCCACCATATACAAACAACTCTAGGTGATTTCTAGATGACATATAGTGTTAGAATTGTGAATGGTCTTAATAAAACATTTAAATGTAAAAGGCAAAACAACAAAATTATTAGAAAACAATATAGAAGAATATTTTCCTGATCTCTAGAGAATAACCCCTTAAATGAAGCCCCAGAAGTATTAACTACAAAGGGAAAAAATCAATACATTTCGCTACTCAATATTTAAGAACTGTTTATCAAAAAACACAAGAGTAAAAAGCCACAGTATGGAAGAAGGTATCATTTGTAAAATATATAACTCACAATGGACTGGTGTGAAGAATATATGAAGAATTCATACAAATTCAAAGAAAAAGGTAAACAATCTAGAGAAAAATGGGTAGGAAATCAGAACAGACACTTTACAAAAGAGGATATCTAAATGTTCAATAACCATATGAAAAGATGCTTAATCTTGGTAACCTGGGAAATGTGAACTACAACCAGAGTAAGACACCACCACATATTCACTGAAATGACTAAAATTCAAAAGACGGATAATACCAGCTATTGACAAAGATGTGAAACAAAAAAGTTCATACATGGCTGGTGGTAGAGCATAAAATAATATAATCATTTTGAAAAATAATATGGCATTACTTACTGAACTTTGAGATACACATCCTGCATGAACCAGAAGTTCTGCTTCATAGAAATGAATAAATGTATGTGCCATACATAGAAACATGGCATCCCTTAAATGCAGAAAAGGCATTAGATAAAATTCAGAATTGGTTCACCATAAAAATTCTTAGTAAATTGAAACTAGAAGGAACAACAGAAAAAGATCCCAAATTATTACTTAAACATCATACTCAATGGGGATATCATAATAGCTTTCCCCTTAAAATCAAGACCAAGTAAAGGTGATCATCATCACCCCTTCTAATCAGCATTGTACTTACCAGAGAACACAGGTGAAAGAAATAAATGGCATAAGCATTGAAAAGAAAGAAAGTCATTATTCACTAATGATAAAAATAACTACCTACAAAACCTAAAAGATAAAAGAATCCTTAATACTAGACATAAGAGTTCAGCAAGGTTGCTGTATATTAAGTCAACCTAAATCAATTGCACTACAAACAGGAAATTAATTTTAAAAAGATACTATTTATAATAGCTACATATATATGGAACTTAAGGACAAATATGACATGTCTATTTGTGCAAATGTTTATGGAGAAAATCCTAAAACTTACTGAAAGACATTAAAGAAGACCTAAGTACATTTTTTAACATTTATTTAATTTTTAAAAAGTCTTTTTATTTTCTAAGAGAAATGGGAAGAACACCTTTGGAAGGTTTTAAGCAGGGAAGTAGCTTAATCTGGTTTACATTTTTAGAAGATCATTCTGATTAGTGTATGAAAGATGATTGTAAAAAGGCTTGTGAAGGAGACCAGAGAAGCTATTGGAGTGCAGGTCCAGGGCTAATATTTAGCTGGAAAATAAAGGTACTGCTGCCTGGATTCTTTATGGCCAGCATTTGCTGACTGGATGCAGTTTCTGATCGGTTGGCCCCATGCTGTGCCATTAGCAGTTGTTAAATATTTTGATCATTTCCCAGTGTTCCCATGAGATTTCTAGG